CAATTATTCACCTCTTCCTGGGGGATCCCAGGCCAGCCGAGAAATATAATCCCTCCAGCAGGTTCTGGGTCTGTGCTGGAGTTTCCTCTGAGGTGGACGTGTTCGGAAGACCTCCAGAGGAAGCCTCTCCGGAGGCATCTGAATCAAATGTCCAAACCACTGCAACTGGCTCCTTTCGACGAGAAGGAGCAGTGGCTCTACTCCGAGCTCCCTCCGGATGTCTGAGCTCCTCACCCTATCTCTAAGGCTGAGCCCAGCCACCCTGCAGAGGAAGCTCTTTTTGGCCGCTTGTATCCGCGATCTCGTTCTTTCGGTCACGACCCAAAGCTCGTGACCATAGGTGAGGGTTGGGACGCCTTGAGGCTCAGCTCTCTCTTCAGCAGTACAGTTCAGCGCGTCAGCGCCCACATTACTGCACCTCGCACTCCATTTCCCATCACTCGTGAACAAGATCCCGAGATACTTGAACTCCCTCGCTTGAGGAAGCCAGACAATGCTCCAGCGCCACGCCGTCGAACCATTCACTGGTTCTGCCACCATCACCATTCCACTCCTGCCACTGAAACCGGATTCTCCACCTGTCACCTGCCCGCTCTCATCCACTCGTCTGTTCCGACGCCGCTCCACCACTGCAGCTCCGTCAGCTCACCAGCACCAGCTCCGCTCACCTTTCCCTCCCTGGATTCCCTGGCGTCCGCTCCTGGTCTCCGCCTGCCTCTCCACCGCGGCAACGCCAACCCCTCTGCACCACTTATCCTCCTCCCTGCTTCCCCTCTCTACTCGGTCGGCTCCTGTCAGGTCTGGTTCTCCCAGCATGGGTTTTGCTAGCCTTATAAATTAGCATCCTGATTTAGCGTCAGTGCCCTGCCAGTCCTTACGTAGCGTTAGCTTTTGAGACTTCTTCTTGTCTACCTGTCCGTATGTTCTGTTTCTCCTCGCTCTGAATTAAGTCCGCCAGTCTGTGCGTAGTGCTAGCTTTAGAGATAGCTTTTTGTCTGCTAGCCCTTTCTGTTTATTGAGTTTCCTTGTTAGCACCTTCTGGTGTCCTCTTTTAGTTGCTCCGCTGTTTAGTCTAGTTTTGGTTTCTTGGTTCCCGACTCGGTGGTACTGAACTCGGGTCCGTGTCTTTAGTTCTTTAGTTCAGCCAACCACTAATAGGTGTAGTTTTCCCTGCCTGCAAACCTCCTTGAGTTTTGTACTTATTTTCCTGTGTGTACCAATAAATTATTATTTAAACTGCCTGTCTGCCGTGTCATGTTGCCTCGCGCATGAGTCTTTGAACCGTCCCGTAACATCCACGTCCCCACTGCTTCGTACTCAGCTGCAAACCACACCAGTGCATGCTGAAGGTCACGGTGTGAAGCCAACAGTACCATGTCATCTGCAAAAAGCAGAGACGAGATCCTGAGGTCCCCAAACCGGACACCCTCCTCTCCCTGACTGCACCTTGAGATCCTGTCCATGAAAACCACAAACAGGATCGGTGACAAGGGGCAGCCCTGGCGGAGTCCAACACCCACTGGGAACGTGTCCGACTTATTGCCGAGAATGTGGACACAGCTCGCACTTTGGTTGCACAGGGACCGTGTGGCTCGTAGCAGCGAGCCTGGTCCCCCATACTCCCTCAGTACCCCCCACAGAGTTCCTCGGGGAACACGGTCATAGGCCTTCTCCACATCCTCAAAGCACATGTACAGCATTATGATCTGAAGTCCACAAGGAGGTTTAATTTTGGCTGTATATGCCGTTTTACGTTCCCTTAACATTTGTCCAACACATTTCTCTCTCTGGTATTGCTCTGCACATATTGGTTGAACCCCGGCAAAGCAGTCTCAAGCTAAAATCACCAAAGATAAAACAGGGTGCCTTGGGAGTGTGTTTCAGTTGTCTGTGAACAGTTTGCAATTGTATGTGCCGCTTTTGACGCATTCCCATTTGGCGGAAGGTAGACCATGCACAACAGAATATTTCCAGATTCGCGGGGAGGATAAAAAGGTCTGAGGCTTAAACATACCAGCTCTATATCGGTGTTGCAGACAGATTTCCTTGTCGTAAATTGAGAGCACCACTTCTTGTTGACATAAACAAGAATGGCTGCCACCTCTGGACTTGCCGGAGATGGCGTTCCTATCCGCGCGCACCAGGAAAAAGCCATCCAAGGGCACAAGTGAGTCGGGCACATCCTCCTATAGCCACGACTCGGTCAGCACAAGCAGACATGATTCTGGGTACTCGTGTGGAACCCTGACATTGCTGAGAGGTATTGAGGACAGTGGTGGCCTGTTCGCCCTCCTGCAAAGTCTCTGGCGCACTCCATCGCGTTTTCCCCTCTTCCGCGTGCATCCCTTGTGGCCTCCACCTCCCGAGGTTCGAAGCAGTTCCCTCGGTAGGACAGGTGTGGGTGTGTGGCTGGGACGGAGAAAGAGGAGCTGCTCTCTAGTTTACCTTAGCAGCACGGTCATTACGGTACTCGAGTCCAGCATAGTGTGACCCAACACTAGCTGGGGTAAAAGCGCAACAACAATAACATCTTGCTGCACTTTCACAGAACATTTACCACTAAGATGGCAAAGAATCGAGTAGGAATAAGGCAGAAAATGCACACAAACATCTGCAGCAGCACGAGTAGCCCAGGTCACCTGAAGTCAGGCATAAAAAAAAAGAGTCTTTATGTATGAACATGCATAAAGTACAATAGGTTCCTAGATGGTACAACAGAGCAAATTCATTACATTATTCATGGCGGTGGTGGAGGTATTACTATGCTCTGATGCTGAGGCTTTATTATTAAAGCAACAGGAGGTACTATTGGAACTGACTACAGACATGATGAAGACAGAAAGATGGTGAATCAAGTCCTTCAATAGCTTAAAGCAGAGAAGAGTCTCAAGTGATCTACAGCAACCACATGTAAAGTGTAAATGATTTAAAAGATCAGGGTTTTCTCATGTTTAGGCCAAAATTTTTATTGGTCTTAATTTAGATTCTCATCAATGTTTGTATTCACGACTCCAGATTCAGTCTATTTTTAGTCGTCTGTTTTATTACTTTTAGTGAATGACAGATAGTGAAGTCATCCTGAAACGTTACAGGTGTCCTCACTCTGTACTTGAGCTTTGAACTGCAATGAAATTGATCCATGAGCCAGTTTATGACCCGCGGAGGCTAAATGAAGCCTGTGAAGGAGTTTATATCATAAATGTGCAGCGTCCTGCCCTCTGAGAGGAGGTTCTGTTTGGTCAGAGTCTCAACTGTTCAGAGAGCAAACATCTGTTTCATTCACTGAATCTACCTGGAAGGAGAGAGAAGAACTTCACCTGGTGAGAAGAATCAGAAAACAGCAAAAACCAATTACCTAAGAAGAGAATTTATTTGTAAAGACCTTAAACCGTTTGTTGTTCATCCTCAGATGTGTGTCGGCTGTTAAACCCCATCAGTCGGATGAAGTGATTTGCTGTTGACGGAGCTGAAAGAGTCGATGATCCTCTGATTTACCACAATAACAACATGACAGACTCATGGTCCATAAGTTCAGGAGACGGCTCAGGTAAGTGTTTCATGTTCACCTGCTTCAGTGAAGACAGACTGTCAGAGATCAGGTTTTATTTTGTGTTAGTTTGGAGTTTGCTTGTCCACAAATCCACAGTTTAGATTTACTCTTATAATGATCAGTCTTTGAGGAGGACAAACATGTTTGCTGCAGAGTCCAAAGTCAGATGTTCAGTGAATCCAAAGATAAGCCTCCAATGTCTTTACAACAATAGTAATAAAGTTATCTCTATTACTGCAATAATAATAGTAGTTATGTGCAGCTGCAGTCCAGAGATGTGGTCAAAGGTGGAGAAGTTATTGATTTATATCTAAATGATTCTGTAAATGATTCACATTTTGACAAGACAACAGTACCTTTGTATCATTAACAGACTGTTAAAGGCTCAACTTAGGCTCAGTTTTATTTAATTTTTTTACTTTTTCTGATAATAGCAACAACTGTCAGAGAATCACTATCATTAAGTTGTCCCAACAAGTTAGTCTGTATCAGGCATCACCAAATGGCGGACCTCGGTCCAAATCTGGACCAAGTGATGGTTCTGTGTGGACCCGTGACCAATCTCTGATAAATTCACAAGAATAGATTTTCATGGAGCATTTTTTCCGACGGTCGCGGCTGTAGACAGCAGGCGCTGCTACTCCAGTTAACACAGTAATAGCTCCACTCAGTCCAGCCAATCAAATCATTTGGTTAGCCTACACGGCCAGCGCACCGCCACAGCTCGCTGCTGCTGCCACTCTGCGCTGCCTACACAGCAGAGCAGAGGTAGAGACAGTGATTACAGCATGGCTTGATCCAAAAGAAGGAAGGTTGACGAGAAAAACCGCTGCTCTGAAGATGAGTGGATGGAGAAATGTGTGTTCATTCTTCCGTCAGGCAGTTCACAACCAGTGTGCCATATCTGCTCTGAAAACGTGGCATTAAATGGTGTTGAAGAAATTTTACTCATAGTCCTCATGTGAAGTTTGCTGTAGTGGGTGTTTATTAGTATTCCGGTATACGGTGGGCTCACCAACACAGAGCATGAGTCTGTGAAGGTGGACCGACCCTGAACATCTGCAGAGTCACACATTTATACTGTAAGTCAGAGGGTAGGGGGGGCTGTATGTAAATACA